GATTTGTTAATTAATAGAGTTGTGTGCCATTATGTGTATGATACTAATTTTTCGTGTACCCATTATCTGTCCGCACAGTCCTCTATATATTGTTGTCCTCATGTGAACGCAACCATATATATATATATATATATATATATATGGTTGATTTCAAATGAGGACAACAATATATAGAGGACTGTGAGGACAAATAATGGGCACACAACAAATTACTATCATGCACACAATTTAATATATAATGGCCTACAAAAATACATGTAAACATCAGGTTTCGAACTCAGACTCTATTAATTAACAAATGTATGCACGCGACATACAAACTGTGGCACACGACTACATTAGGTCATGCACACGACATACAGACTAATGACACACACTACATTTGTTCTCACAGTCCTCTATAATATACTTGTCCTCATTTGAACGCAAGTGTATATATATAGAATAAGGCTCATATGCGGCAGTGGCTTTAAGTGCGGCGGTGCGGTCATATCAGCGTCGTCCATTCTGCTTAATCTAACGGCATCGGCTAATTTCTGAAGATTTAAAGATTTAAGCGCGTTCTGGTAAGTGAGGGATGTTATGGTAATTGTAGTGGTTATTTATATCAGTCACTTGTCAGTATACACCAACAATGTTAACAAAAGACACCAATAGTGTTAGGAAAAAGCACCACAATGAAATGCACAAATACACCAAAAAACACACAACACACCCAAAAAATACACCATATAACTCACCACCCCAATGGTGTATTCTGAACACTGTGCGATGCTTTTAGTCATACCTAGTGGTGCGTTCTGGTGATGCGTATCTAATTTGTGCATGTTTTTTTGGTGTGCATTTTCTAACATGGATGGTGTATATTTGTATAACTATTAGTGCGGTCGCACTGACCGCTCGAGAAGGCACCAACACGAATTCTCAAGTACACCACAGTAAGGTTAATAATGCACCAATAATGAACATAAAACACACAACACTATGATTTGATATATTCTGGTGCCCAATGACGATTTTAACCTTGCAGTTCGCGTACTGTGAGAACGCGCGCGAAAATATCGAAAAAGCCTTGATGAATGTGATTCGTTGGATTTATCTAATCTAATGGCCTACAATTAACCGCACCGCCGCACCTAAGTGCACAGCCGCACTTGAACCTTCCTCTCTCTCTCTCTCTCTCTCTCTCTCTCTCTCTCTCTCTATATATATATATATATATATATATATATATATGGATCAGTCCACATGTGAAGCCTCTCCCTGTTAGACATGTTATATTTAGTATATTATTTTGTCACATTCTTTATGTATGATTGCATTTGATTTAGTCTTTAACTGTAACCTATTGTATAGGGTTACAGTTAGGCCTAAGACTTCTATGTCATTTGTATCTCTGTAACTTGTTACGATTGAATTCACTGAAAGTACGTTCATCTGGTATCATTTAGCCATAGGTGATCCTTTTTCTCTTTCCTCCAAAATATGTCGACCAACTCTAGTGAACGCACGGTGACAGCCGCCACCGTCAACCACCACAAACTCCCTCTCCACAGCGCATCACCTTGTTTCGATTAAACTTACCCGAAACTATTTTCTTTTCTGGCACACTCAGTTAATCCCATTTCTACGTGGTCAAGGGCTATTGGGGTATGTTGATGGAGCCACGCCATGCCCGCCGGCGACTATCACCGGTCCGTCCGCTAGCGATGCTGCATCCGGTGGAATGACGGCCCCGCCCGTTCCAAATCCGGCGCACACCCATTAGATTCAACAGGATCAGTCGATCCTAAGCCTTCTCCTCTCCTCCTTGTCTGACAAGGTAATGTACCTCGCTGTAGGAAGGGCGACGTCGCGGGAGGTCTGGACCTCCGTCACTGCCGCGCTTGGGTTGTTAACGAGGCCACGCTGTCTGAACCTTCTGGCTCAGTTTCAATCTCTCCGTCAAGGAGATAGCTCGCCCGGAGAGTACTGTAACACCCCAATTTTCCAAAACCGAATTAATTTATAAAAAGGCATTTCTTCAATTAAAATTTCGTTATTTAATTGCGGAAGCTAAACCAAACAAGGAAAACGGGATGCTACCGCCACGTTTAGATAACAACATTTTATCCAAACGCACAGGCTAAAAACAACACTACTAAAACAACCCATAATTTATTTTATTACAATGCATTAAATACAACCTCTAGATTATCTAATAAAAAAATAACAACTCCAAAAGACTAATTTAGAAGGGTTCGCTCTCATGCTCCAAATGCCATGCAACAACACCTGCAAAAGAACTAAAGGGGGGACAAATTCAGCATACAACAGCTGGTAAGACTTACTCCACCTCGTAAAATATTTGCACATAACACATATGAGCATATAACTTGCACATAAACCCCTTAAAACATTTTTTCTCCATAAACTTTTATCTCAACATTTTCATATAACCATATCCTCAAAATTTCCATATAACCAATTAAGGAAAATTACCGAAATCACAATTTAATAACCCAAAGAGAGTTTTCAATCTCTCAAGATAACCACCAAATAGAGAGTATCCAAAACTCTCAAAATAACCACCATAGTAAATTTTCCAAATAATTGGTTAAACTTTTCACATGTCCAACAATAGTCATTATATACAATGCCAGGAGGGATGGATCCAAATGGAAATTTCAAGCTTCCAAACCAAATCATATCCAAAACCAAATCCAAAATAAACCGGACGAATCTACGAACCGATGGCCAATTTAATTAGAGAGATCTCAGCTCTCGTAATAATAATAGTAACCAAAAAAAGGAGAGTTCAAAACTCCAAGTATCACCATCCTCCGAGACAAAATATATATGTAACTATAGCTTTCAAAATTCGCATCTTACATCAAAAGTCTTTGCACCCAAGTAATACTTTCAACCTTACACTTGTATTTGCAACCATTATATCAATTAGAATGCCATGAACCAAACATAAATAATCCATCAACACTAATTACCCAACCCATACTAATATATATCATACTCAATATTTCACGATTACACAATATACGAATATTCTGTACTCAAACAATATTTTGCACCTTACTACTATTCTCACTACAGAATATACTAATATGCATATATATACTTACAGTGCACAAATTAAACATACACACATATATATAAAACACACTAATCCTACATTCATATATGCACAGTACATACTACGTACACACGATTATATACATTAATCCTTTATATGCCATGATTATATAAAATACACAAGGTACAAATAATTTTTCACTTTAAAATTTCACAAATAATACAAATTCATGTTTCACAAAGAAGATATCAAAAACAACAAAACAAATTTTTAAGGAAAAGGTTTTCACATAAACACTTAGGAAAAGTCAATTTTTGATTTGGAGTAAAAGGATTTTGAGTGAACATAAATCTTACCCAAGAAGTAAAAGTGTCCACTGCGTACACCCGAAATACTAAAAGTTGATGATTCTCATCCACTAGCTATAATTGATGATGATGGAGAAGACTATGATGATGAAGAATAACATTCTTTTCTTGGTTGTACGGCAAATGAGTGTAGGAGGGGGAGAGAAAATAATTGAAGAAGGAATTGAAGATGAATAGAAAAATATATAGATAATGACTAAGTCAACAATGGAGTGGATTTGAGTAGATTAGGGAGAGTTGTATGTAACGTGTGTGTGTATTAAAAAAAATTGGGCATTAATTAGGAATGATTAGGTAATTTATCTATATATATAAATATAACATAAAAAATTGATTATGAATAATTAGGTACCAAATAGGTATACATATATTTAGGTAATTAGGATAATTAATTAAGAAGATTAGAAATAATAGAAATATATATAATACACGTACCACATACAAATATCACATATTTAATAAGTACATACCATATACTAATGTACTATAAATTAATTATTTACATATCTAGTATATCAAATACTATAGAACCACCATATAAATAATCATAAAAACAATTATATTTATAATAAAATATTCCAAATAACCGGGGTATCACAAGTACCTTGGCCGAGCCTAGCTTCTGGTGGAGGACCTTTCGTTGGCCGGCCGGCCCGTCTCGTTAGATGAGCAAAACCTGTACGTATTCTGCGGCCTACGACCGGAGTTCCGATCCATGGCGTCTTCTTTAGCTGCTTCAGGTACCCTAGTTTCGATACCTCAGTTGTCCGATTTTTTACAAGCCCAGGAATTCATTCGAGTTCTTTCGTGTGATGGTAGAACGTCAATTTTCGCATTCTATCAAGTCGATCCAATTGGATTTGGGCGGGGAATACCGCCGTTTAAATTCCATTTTAAGTCTTTGGGCATTGTTCATAGGCAATATTGTGCCTATACACATGAACAAAATAAGGAGAGTTGAGCGTGAGAATAGGCATGTTGTTGAAACCGGCCTCGCCCTTCTAGCTGACAGTTCAGTTCCCTTAAAATATTGGGACTCGGCGTTTGAAACAGCCTCCTATCTCATTAATTGTATGCCTTCATCTGCGTTGTAATTCATCAGTCCCTACAAGTCACTATATAATAAAACTCCACCATACACCTTTTTCCGTGTCTTTGGGTGCATGTGTTACCCATATCTGAGGCCTTATAATCGGCACAAGATAGAGTATCGCTCTGCACCCTGTGTCTTCCTAGGTTACCCTCCCTCCTATAGGGCTTATCGATGCATGGACCTACGTACTGGAAGGACCTATATCTGTCGCCATGTGCGGTTTGACGAATCTTGTTTTCCTTTTGCTACAGGTTTACAAGATTCCACGGCTACTCACGACTCACATATCAGTCCACCATGGGCGGCTGGACCCTTGGTCCCACAACCCACTCAACCGCTTGACGCGGTACCTATAGCTGTTTAAGCTCCGCCTCTTGCAATTCAAGCGCAACCTACTAGGACCACGGGCACTCAGCGTGGTTCATGCACTCAGCCTACAAAGCGTGGTCATGTTATGCGCCTTCTGCAAATGACCAGGGGAACAGATGAGCAGTTCCATGCCCTAACGGCATCTGTGGACCCAACTTGCAACACCCAGGCAGTCGGGCATCCACAATGGCGGAATGCCATGGACCAGGAATTCAATGCCCTACTGCACAACAACACCTGGAGTCTCACACCGACAAAACCTGGCATTAATGTAATAGGCTGCAAGTGGGTTTATCGCGCTAAGCATAAAGCCGATGGATCAATTGAGAGATATAAAGCCCGACTAGTAGCTAAAGGGTTCAACCAGGTCGCTGGTGAGGATTTCTTTGAAACCGTTAGCCCTGTAGTCAAACCGACTACGGTCCGCATGCTGCTGGCCCTTGCGCAATATTTCGCGACTTTATTTTCTCTTTGCGCCAAATCTCACACTCTTTGGTAGCTTGAATAGGAAAACATTTTGGTTATATTCATCAATTATGAAATTTTAAGGTAATAGATTAGTTTGTAAAAGTTGATTTTACTATTTCTCAGTAAAAAGTTGTTATAAGAAAGGATGCAGTCAACCTAATAAAACATGTTGGATGTCTAGAAATACTGTCTTACTCAACCTTTGCTTGATCTTCTCCATCACTTAACTTGGTTTGAGGCAATTTGACTTTGCTCCTCCTATTACACCAGGGCACAGGATCACATGAACAACATGATGCCACTAGCTAAAATTAACCTTAACATCTTGATGGATGCATGCAATAGAATATTAGTTAGATTTTCTTGGTAGTTTAATATACTATGTTGTTGTTGTTATCATTATTCTATGCATGTCAAGTTTTGTTGTGCTCTTAATTGTTGTAAGCATTTAGCTGGTCCGCAAAGCCTCGAGTTCCTTGGAGCATTCTGATCGTCGTGATATTTAACTAATGAGACTATTAATTGGTTGGCAGGATGTACAATCAAAGGTGAGTGATGTTGTTCTTGGAAAGGAAAATCCAGTTGAAGAATCAAATCCTGAATATGAGAAGTTGAAGCACTATATATTTGAGCTTGAAGATCATCTAGCTGAAGCTCAAAAGCATTCATATGGTCTTGTTAAGAGACATAGAGGTACTAAATACTGGTGTTAGAGATGCCGCTTATTATGCATACAACATACTCATTCGGTGATCTTATATTATCAATGAGAGCACAATTTACATTGTCTTCGTAAAAGGTAGAATAGCTTCTTCTTGGTTGCAGTTGGAAACTTGGAAGCAAAATAGAAAGTAAAACAACTTTGACAGAACATTTCTTCCCTTTCCATCTGGGTGGGGGTGTCCCTAAGGCTTATATAGCCCTTATGTTATGCTTAGGATTAACTACCTAGGTGGCATCTCAGACTCTCCTTCTAAATGCATTAGTCTTAATTGTATAATGATGAAAATTTATGTTGCTTGTTCTCTTTATATGAAACATATTTTACCACAGAGTTAGGACAGTCTTTGTCAGATTTTGGAAAGGCAGTCAAACTCCTGGGAACTTCTGAAGGAAATTCCCTTGGGAAGGCATTTTCTGATCTTGGTGCAAAATGTGAGCTGCAATCAATTAAGCTGCAGAAAGAGGTAGTCTGGATTGGAAGACTATTTGTTAAGTTGTATCTGTTTCCTTGAATCCTTTTACTTAAATTGAAAATGCACCCAGGCACATAACCTTCTAATGAATTTTGAAGAGCCATTGAAGGATTATGTTCGAGCAGTGCAGTCGATTAAGGTGAGTTGGGAACTTTTCTAGAGAAGGTTTCCTTGAACAACTAACTTATAATTGGCAGCATTTCATTCATTGTGCTTGACAATAAGTATATGGTTTAATAAAATAAGAGTGATGGTAATGACATTTATATTATCTCAAATGTTGACAAATAATGATTTATTTTCTTCCAGTGAGTTTTATTTTATTTTTTTACAGGCCACAATGGCAGAAAGAGCAAATGCTTTCAAACATCAGTGTGAAATGGCTGAAACAATCAAGTTCAAGGAGATAGATATGTATGATTTGGTGAACTGAAATTTATTTTCATCGCGATTTGAATTGACAGCTAATTCTTACTTGGGTATTGTTGTTTCGTAATTGAGCACTTCTGTTGTGTTTCAGAAACAAACTCAGGCTAATGCGGTCTGATAAGTTAGCCGAGGCTGAGCGTGAATATGAAGTGGTACTTGCCTACAAATTTTTTGTTTTGATGTGTACCCACCCGATGCTTTGCCTGACATTATATCATATCATATGATTTGTATGAAACAGTTGAAGGTTGAGGGGGAAGAAGCAGGTGAAAGATTCAAGACAATAGCCCGTTTGATGAATGAAGAGATTGTCCAGTTCCAAGAGCAAAAAACACTGGATATTGGTGTTGCTTTACACGAATTTGCAAAGGGACAAGCGCATCTAGAAAACAGTGTTGCAGAAGCCTGGCGAGGCCTTCTTCCCAAACTCGAGGCTTGCTCTTAATAAAATTTTCTAATTCAGACTCAACGTTCGTTCTTTCATTTCTCTGTTGTACTAATTCCAATTCTGACGTTAATTTTAATAGAGCAAAAAGAAATAAACACAATCTCACAATTTTCAGAACTAAGAGCCATCAGCCATGTAAATAATTTATAGTATTTATTAGTGTTGAATAGTAGAAAGATTCATTGTATTCAACTCAAAAGAATTGTACAAACATCTACTATTTAAATAGGAATATGCTATTAACCTAATGGGCCTATTTCTAAAAGGACCTAGGGTTTCAACACTCCCCCTCAAGCTGGAGAGTATAAATCATATGCTCCAAGCTTGTTACAAATATACTCAACCCTAGGAGCTCTAAGGGGTTTTGTCAAAATATCAGCCAATTAATCTGCAGAGTTGACAAAGCTTGTTTTGATACACCCTGACACAATCTTCTCTCTAATGAAGTGACAATCAACCTCAATATGTTTGGTTCTCTCATGATAAACTGGATTTGAGGCAATATGTAGAGCTGCTTGGTTGTCACATATCAATGTCATTTGAGCAACCTTGCCACATTGCAACTCTTGTAGTAAGTGCTTCAGCCACATAAGCTCACACGTGGCAAGGGCCATGGCTCGGTATTCAGCTTCAGCACTGGATCGGGCAACAACATCTTGCTTCTTACTTTTCCAAGATATAAGATTACCACCAATGAGTACACAATAACCTGAAGTAGAGCGTCGGTCAAACGGACAACCAGCCCAATCTGCATCAGAATACCCAACAACCTGAGCATGTCCTCTATCTTCATATAGTAAACCTTGTCCTGGTTCTCTCTTGATATACCTTAGAACCCGAACAGCAGCATCCCAATGAGTATCACAAGGATTCTCAAGAAACTGACTCAACACACTAACTGCAAAAGAGATATATGGTCGTGTGATTGTGAGATAATTCAATTTTCCAATTAGTCTCCTATATCGTTCTCGGTCAAGTAATGGCTCCCCCTGTCCTGGTAAGAGTTTAACATTCGGATCCATTGGATTATCCACCGGTCTACAATCCAACATGCCAGTTTCTTCTAAAATATCCAGTGCATACTTTCTTTGAGAAATAACAATACCACTACTAGACTGGGTTACTTCAATTCCAAGAAGGTGTTTCAGCTTGCCCAAATCCTTGGTCTGAAATCGACTGAAGAGATACTCTTTCAACTGAGATATGCCCTCTTGATCACTCCCTGTAATAACAATGTCATCCACATATACTACAAGGTATATGCATTTCCCATTAGAATGACGATAGAAAACAGAATGATCAACTTCACTTCTAGTCATACCAAACTCACATACCACAGAGCTAAATCTTCCAAACCAAGCCCGTGGAGATTGCTTCAAACCATACAAGGAACGACGAAGTTTACATACCAGACCAGGCTCCCCTTGAGCAACAAACCAAGGTGGTTGCTCCATATAAACCTCCTCTTGAAGATCGCCATGTAGAAAAGCATTCTTGATATCCAATTGGTGTAAATCCCAATGATTGATTGCTGCCAAAGATAAAAGTAATCGAACTGATGCAATTTTAGCTACAGGAGAAAAAGTATCAGTGTAATCCAGACCAAAAATTTGAGTGTAGCCTTTTGCCACCAGTCGTGCCTTAAGGCGATCAATCTTGCCATCAGGGCCCACCTTCACAGTATAAATCCACCTACAACCAACAACGGTTTTACCAGGAGGGAGGGGAACCAACTCCCATGTGCCACTAGACTCCAGGGCCTCCATCTCAGTGAACATGGCTTGGCGCCAATCGGGATCCGAGAGGGCCTCACGAGTGGATTTAGGTATAGACACAGAAGAAAGGTGAGAAAGGAAGGCAAAGTAAGGAGAAGATACACGATGATAACTCAAAAAGGTATATATAGGATGAGGGTTACGAGTAGAACGTGTACCTTTCCGGATAGCAATGGGTGCCTCAGTGGGATCAGCGTCAGATTGCAATTGAAGTGGTGGAACCACAGCCGGAGGAGGATCGGGTGGCATGGGTGAGTCAACAGGAGCCTCAACAGACACGGGGTGAGGACGGCGATGGTAGACTTGAAGGGGTGGTCAGGAGCAGTTGGAGAATTATGATCTTGAACAAGAGGAAGTGAACCAAGATAAGGAAGAGGGAGAACCTCTGAAATAGAGACTGCGTTACCTGGTGTAGGCTGGAAAAAAGAAGTAGACTCAATAAAGATGACATCAGCAGACACAATTAGCAACCACAACCACAATAGTGTGAGATTCGATGCCGTGTATGTTAATTATTGCTGACTTGTGATTATTGATATGATAAGCAATTAACTGCAAAGATTAACAAGCGCCTGAAACCAAAAAATAGTGGAACTCAAATCTGCATCATAAATTCTCTCACACTCAAATCCTACTTTGCATCATGAGAATACAGACTGCGCTTTCGAGATACTTGCTAAATCCATTTCAATGTTAAAACATTCATAATACAAATAATTCAAAATTATAATTTGAATTATATTATATTTGACACAAATAATATATGCACATATATGATTTAGAAATTTAATTAAAAGCTAATCAATCATTAAATTAATTATATATTGATTTTAATAAAATCTTTATATTATTTATTATTTATATATAATAAAGCAGAATCTAGCAACAAAATTTTCCCTAGTGTGAATGCATTTTAATAGAAATAAGATTAGCAATGCATTAATTGTGTGGGTAGATATATTTATATATACATTTTTTGAAGTAATTATGTGTATTTATATTTTATAAATATATTTTATTGAGTGAATACCCAAAATCGTCCTCGACTATAATGGTTTTTCTCAATTTCGTCCTAAACGACTTTGGTGACCTAATATCGTCCCAGACTTTTGTGTTTCGCTCAATTTAGTCCTCCATTTGTTATTCCGTCAAATTGGTGTTAAATAAAGTGACAATTCAATAATGTCAATATTAATCTCTCTTTACTTTCAACTTGTGAAGTGCGAAATTCCTCTTTCTTGTACGAATTACACCCAGAATTACTCCCGGACCTGCAAATCAAATTTTATATTCCCAGTTTTAGGAGTAATTTTGGGAGTAATTCGTAAAAAAAAAAAAGAGATTTCGCACTTCACATGTCTATGAGTAAAGAGATGTCAATATTAAAATTACTGAATTGTCTATTTATTTAACACCAAATGGACAGAATAACAAATGAGGGACTAAATTGAGCAAAACCACAAAAGTCTGGGACTAAATTGAGCAAAACCACAAAAGTCTGGGACGATATTAGGTCACCAAAGTCGTTTAGGACGAAATTGAGAAAAACCACTATAGTCGAGGACGATTTTGGGTATTAACTCATATTTTATTATTATAGCTCTATCTCTATCTCTATATATATTAAAACATAATGAAGTATGAAAAAAAGTTTATTGTGTTCATATTTATTGGTAAAGTGTTATATTTAATATAACTAGTATTTGTCCTCGTGCGATGCATGGAATAGATTTGTTGTAATATATTAAAAATATTTGGATTGATATAAAATAATTAAATTAAAACACCAAATATTATATAGTGCAATTGAATAATTGAGTTGGATCGATTATGTTTTCTGATATTATCAATGCTTGAATTCGAACAAATAATTATTCAATTAATAGCCAACGTGTAGATGTACGCATCCGGCGCTGAAACTTTAGAGATTTTATATAGCAATGTTTATGATTTGTATTAATTAGCTTAATTAGCTCGTTGTCTAGCTTGCAACTCAGTTATATAAATTATTTGTATAGAATATACAACGTACAACATACAACATAAATATTAATATTAATTGATATTTAATGTAATATCACAAAAATAAAGTGATGTTTAAATAATACATAAATGCAATATGTACCTTAGAGTAATGAAATAAGCACTCTAGAGTTTGGTGGTTGACGTTTTGACGGCTGTGCGTTGATATTCTCTGGACAAATAACAACGCGTGAACTGAAGGCCTATAGAGTTTTTTCTTGTCTTGGAAGATAGATCAAAGGCAGTGACAAAATTTGACTTCATTACTAAACAATAAAGAGAAAGTTGAGAAATATAAGAGAAGAATTAAAAGTATATAATGGTAGAAAATAAATGAGTTCGTGACCCTTTTATATTCAGGCAATACATATCAATATCAATTTGTCTATACTATAATTATTAAATATTAATTATTACTATTTATTAATATAATTACTTAATTAATTATTATTTAATTCATATAATTATCATAATATAATTGCCGATTATATTTCCAGTGAAATATTAATATATATTCATTTCGTTTTCTAATATTTCATTTCCTTTTGAATATGTTTACTTCTTTTTTCCTTCATACAAAGAATAAATATTGATTGCCATATTTTTTCTCTTTCATAATTTTTTCCTAATATTTTATTTGTTGATTACTAATTTTTTGGTAGGAAAAACTGTGTTATATTTCCAGTAAAATATTAATATATTCATTTTGTTTTCCCTAGTATTTTCGCCCGTGCGATGCACGGGATGAATTTGTTATAATATATTAAAAATATTTGGATTGATATATAATTATTTAAATTAGAACACCAAATATTATATAGTGCAATTGAAGATATAGTTTGGATTGTTTATGTGTTTTGATGTTATCATTGTTTGAATTTGTGAAAATAATTGCTCAAATTAATAGCTAATGTGTAGGTGTACGCATGCGGTGCTATAACTTTGGAGATTTTATTTATCATTATTTAGTATTTTTTTTTTATAAATTAGACAAATGTAGTGTTTGTTCTCTAGCAACTCAATTATAGGAATGAATTGCTATCTTTAATTCATTTGTATGGATTTTTTTTTTTTTTTTTTTTTTTGTCTAGATATATATCAATTTTGTCATTTAAAAAAAACATAATATCAACGACGATTGTATTTATACATTATTGAAACCTCTTTGTAGACGACATTGGTAGTATCAACGCAATCCTGTCCATCATCTTATAGAGCTAAAACCTTCAGTTCATCAGGATATGTGACTCGGGTGAAAATATATAATGGTAGAGTATTAGTCAATTATCGATCCTTTTATATTTTAAGTCAATTAGTAAT